CTAGGCCTCCTCCACCCAGATCCTCCATCTTCCAGTAGGCAGGGGTCACACCCACCAACTGCCCCCCGCCGGCGCCGTGTAATCCCATCTACGGCCAAGACCCAAAGACTATAAAACCCAGCTCCCGGAAGTGCGTGGCCGCATTTGTGGCCACACGACATCTTATTATCTAGTTCTTACTCTAGAGAACCTGGCAGGCTACCAAAATTATCCTACCCGCATGACAGAGTCTGGCAAACTCCCCATGGCGTATTCAATATGCCAAAATCCAGTAACAATAATGGGTCTCATTCTCCTGACCCTGAAAGAGCCTCGAATGTGGCACTTTTTAAAATCTCAGGGCTAGGACGAAGGAGACGTTACTGGGGCCTGCTCAAGGCAATTGATGAACAATAGGATGACAGTGATACAGTAAATTCTTCTTTTAAAAATAAATAATTAAAGGTTTTGGGCCACAACTGAGCTCTGGGGTTACTCCTGGAGGCGTTCAGGGACCATCCAGAACACCAGGTCGAACCTGGGTCGGCCGTGTGCAAGGTGAGCTCCCACCCGCTGCACTACCACCCTGGCCACCCTCTAACTGCTCTTCTATGTGATTTATAGGACCGACCTGTCAGACACCCCTTTTAGGAACCTAGCGCCATGACCTGGAGACACGCACTGCTGGATCAGAGCTCCAGGGACCAAGGACGGACATAGGAAACTGGCGTGTTATAGACTCCAGCCACACAATGCTGAAGGTCAAGTCTTAGACCCCAAAGTAATGCAGATTAAGTGATTGTAAAAGCAAACAAACAGGAAGTGGCAAGCCTGCCCGTGCCCACCTGCATCCTCTGCTTGGGGACACTCTCCTGTGGATGAAATATCACGACAGAAGAACTTTCCCCGAGGCACGCCCCCGTTGGAGGCTCGTGGGCTACACACAGTGTTTTCTCGGTGTTTACTCTGATGCTTAAATACAAAGAATAAGTCTCCTCTATTGTGGGGGGAGCTGCCTTCTACCAGGGCTGTTTAATCTGTCAACAGAGAAGCCAAGGAATCAAACAGTTGGCATCCTTGCAGACGGCTCTGTCAGATAGAATCGTCGTGAAGAAGGCCGGCCGCGGTGCCTTACCCCCTCGTGCTCCTAGAAAGGAAATTCTTTCCTCTGTGTGTGTGTGTGTGTTTTAAAAAACTCTCTGGAAAGAATTAACCAATTTAAAATTCCCCCCAACGGGATTTTAATAAGATTTTTATTAACTACAGGTTCAGATGCATAAATCTCCACTCATGAAAATATAAATATATTCGCTGCAAACTGTTTTGTTTGGAAAGTCGGCTGCCTGCCCGCGATCCTCAGGAAAAGAACAGAATCGAGCTAATAAATTCAGGAACAGAACAGGATCCATTTAATAAATGACGCAGTTCAGAGAGAAGCGGGGTCTTGTGACATTCCCAGAATAGCTGGTCCATATTTTTCCAATCAGAATACTTCTTCGGAGCATCTGGCAAAACAAACGCTAAACTCGTACCATCTTTCATGATTCAACGCAGGCCAACAAACTCCGCTCTTGTGGATGGGAGAATGTGGAAGGGGCGGGGGCAGAGCCATGGAAAACAGAAGTCCTCTCCTGCACCGAGGGGCTGGAGAGAGGGCTGGGGCAGACCTCTCCCCGCCTCCCTTGCCCCTCCAGGCCATCTCCTGTGGCTTCTTGCAGAAGCATCTGGAAAGGACATTCTCAAGCAGCTCATGTGGACACACACAGAGACTCTGGTATAGGGGGAAGGGGGCTGGGAGGGCCCTGGCCTGGGCTGGCCTGGCGGGCATCCTGACATTCTCTCTGCCTTTGCAGGCCAGGATTCTGCACTAGTGCCCCCTGTTCTGGCTGAGACGGAGGTATCTGTGAATCTCTCAGTGTGTTTTGGCCCTGTAGTGCTGCATCTCACACCCTGGCAGAGGCTGGTGGCCAAGCCTGGCTGACATCTGTGTCACAAACGGTGCTTCCTGCCCTTCTCGGGAGCCCGTGCCTGGGCCAGGAGCGTGCATCACACCGGCTTTGTTGCTGAGAGCCCAGCACTGTGATCCAAAAGGCATGGGCTACGGGATCAGGCTGCAGGACCAAGGATGGAGGCCGGAAACTCGTGTGTCACGACTTCAGCTACACAATGCTGCAGGTCAAGTCTGAGTGACTGCATGCATTTGTGGAATATAAGTCAACAGAATGGGAGACTAGCACCCAAGGATAGTAGAGATAAAGGCCAGGAGGGTCGCTCCATGGCTTGGAAGCCGACCTCATAGGCTGGGGGAAAAGGCAGCTGAGATAGAGAAGGGATCACTAAGTGAATGATGCTTGGAGGGCTTGCTAGGGCCAGGAAAAGTACAGCGAAGTCTTCTTCCTGGAGAGAGTCAGTCGCCCATGTCAGCTGGGAGGACAGGCTTCCTTCTGGACATCTCTCATGCTGAAAGTAGACTACAGACTGCACATGACGGCCACTTACTACTCGTATTGCAAACCGTAACACCCAAAAGGAGAGAGAGAGAGAGTAAGAGGGAAAGTGTCTGTCACAGAGGTGTGGGGGTGGTGGGACACTGGGACTATTGGTGATGGAGAATGGGCACTGGTGAAGGGATAGGCACTCAATCATTGTATGACTGAAACGTAATCATGAAAGTTTGTAAGTCTGTAACTGTACCTCACGTTGATTCATTAAAAAATCTAAAAACAATAATGCAGATGAAAAGTGTGTGCAAAAGCAAATGGGCAGGAAATGGCAGGCCTACCCATGCCCACCACGCCCCTCTGTCCGGGGACACTCTCCTGTGGGTGAAATGTCACGACAGAAGAGCTTTCCCGAGCACGAAGGCCGACATCTCCTGGGGAGGGAGCGGATGAGAGTCCCCAGCACCCCCCCCACCTGCAGACTCAGGGCCGCGTCCACCCATGTGCTGCCCCCGTTCTCTCTGCCATGCAAGGTCCCGCCAAGCCCGTCCCCCCCGCCCAAAGGCTCCCTGACCCCCGGCAGTGCCTACAGCCCCCAGCTGCTGCGCTTGGTGATGTAGAACTGCCCTCGGACCCCCAATCAGGCTTCTGTGCCCCATGTGTCTGCTCCTGGCCTCCCCCCGCACAGAGTCTACCACAAGAAGTGATCATGCCTCGAAACGGTCCCTGTGCCCCCAGGCCACTGTCTTGGGGATAGACGGTGGTCAGACATCTGTGTCCTTGCCAAGAGTTCCCTGGACCGGCCGCCACGGCACGTCCCCAGCTGCTGGCCGACTCCCCAGGCAGGGACAGTCACAAGCGCGAGGCCCAGTCAAATTGGCCTATCCCCACTGCCTCCCTCCTATCTGGGAGAGCCCGTCCACACCCACCTGCTGGGCCTGTACCAGGCGTCCATCCCAGGTGGCCACCCTGCCCATGGCCCTGCCCTAACCCCTGTGTTCTCACGGCCCCTCTCTGGGCCCCTCTCCCATCCACTAGAACCCGTGCCGGAGCTGGACACGACCCCCCAGTCCCTTCCCTTGGCCACTTGGTCACAGGAAATGGGTGTGTCCACATCCCTCTGAGCCTGCTGGCTGGGCTGGTGGTGGTGGACGGACAGCAGAATCGTGACTGAGTAAAGGGACCACCTTCCTGAGTGTGAGTGCGTGTGTGTGTGCGTGCGTGCGTGCGTGTGTGTGTGTGTGTGTGTGTGTGTGTGTGAGCTGGGTGCCTGCAGGGAACAAAGGCCAGGCTAGGGGAGAGAAGCCCCTGCCATGGTTCACTGGAGCCCACACTCGGGTTTCTCTGTCTCTCTAGAGGTTTATGGTACGCAGGTGCGATGAGCTCCTGGTGGGTGAACAGGTGTGAATAGCAGGTGAATAGGAGTGATAGTGGGTGAACAGGGGTGAACGCAGATGCTGCTTGCTTGCTCCCTTTGCCCCGAGACTGGGTCAGGAGTATCTCTGCCCAAAAGCCAGTCATCACTCTGACGAAAGAAAACCCAAGTGGTTAAGACCACAACAGGATTGTCGTGAGTCCCCTGGGAAAATGTCTAGGCAGAAAAGTTTCCTATGGAAGCGGGATGTGAGAGAGGCAGAGGGTCTGTCTGCCCTTGAGCTCAGCCCATGCCCTGAAAGTTATTTTATTGTAAGCAACTGAAAGTTATTTTATTGTAAGCAATGTGCTGGTGGTCGTGTTTAAGCCTCGGTGTCCAAAGTTCCGGCATGCTGCGCTTCCTCTGCTCACAAATTCCTTTCCTCCCCCATCCCACAAATTTAGTGTTTTCCTTTATAATCCAAGGCCAGGACTTGATACTAACTATAATTTTTTTTTTTGTAAAATTTTTTTCCTGCATTTTTTTTTTCCCCGTAAGCATTGTCCTCCCGTTGTTCATCGATTTGCTCGAGCGGGCCCAGTAACGTCTCCACTGTGAGACTTGTTACTGTGTTTGGCATATTGAATGCGTCACACATTCTTGCCAGGGTTTGCTGTGCAGGTGAGATACTGTCGGCAGCTTGCCGGGCTCTCAGAGAGGGGCGGAGGAATCGAACCCGGCTCGACTGGGCCAGCTGAGCGCAAGGCAAATGCCCTACCACTGTGCTATCGTTCATCTTTTAAATTTAAAATTTAAATACTCGCAACCACAAGCCTCACTGGCGTGCAGATGGCACCTGGAGAGATTCTAGTCTGGCCCAGCCCAAACTGCACACAAGACCACAGCAGACTTGGGATGTCGGAGCGCGTTTGCTGAGGAAGAGATTCCTCACGCCACCATGTCTCAAGCTCTCTTTATGCTAAACCTCAAATACTCACTTCAAAGCTAAATGAAAAGTGACGAGGTCGGCACACACACAATTCCAATAAAATCAAGGACAAAAGCAACAGACACGCAGGTCCTCCTCCCCAGCCTGCATCCTCCGCCAGAGCAGAGAAGGAGCTTTGCCCCTTTGGTACGTTCTAGCAATGATTTCTGCTGCACCTCCTGTTACCGTTAGATGCAAAGATGCCTTCAGTACAAGTCTACAGTCTATGAAAACACAACTCACTTGAATCAAGACCCGCGGTTTGCTGAAACTGCTGGTTTCAAGCAGGAGCCTAAAGAAAAATCTTCCTATGATCTGTTGATCATTTCAGAGTTTTCTAAATGGGATGGTTGATTCACTAGAAAGAAACATCTGAGAGGGGAAAGAACAACTAACTGAACTTAAATGAGAGGGAACTGGATATTTGCTGTCAGATTTGGGGCAGAGTCTTGGCACGTCGAAGCAACCAATGGCTTATTGAAATAAACGAGATTCTCTGTAAAAAAAAAAAGACACACAACTTGGGGCTGGAGCGATAGCACAGCGGGTACGGCGCTTGCCTTGCACGCAGCCAACATGATCGACCCGGGTTCGATTCCCAGCATCCCATATGGTTCCCCGAGCACCGCCAGGAGTAATTCCTGAGTGTAGAGCCAGGAGGAACCCCTGAGCATCGCCGGGTGTGACCCCCCCAAAAAAACCCCACAACTCGTGCAGACTAATTTAATACTGAATTCTCAGAAACAGTGTCAAAATAATGTGAACAAAAAATGATCAGAAGGCACCGATGACTCTCAGAACAAGCCTAGCACCTGCCCCTGGTCCCCCCAGCTTTTGGCCCTGCTCCGCCTCAGCACCTGTGAGCTCAGCAAAAACCACCTGGAACCTCGGCAAAGCACCGATATGAGATGACATGTGTGTGAAAGCTCCAATAAAGGCCGACTGGCAACGCGATCACGTAGGCCAGTGTTCTTCCATCTGAGCACACACTCACGAGAAAGCCCCAGGCACAGGGCATGAGTATCTCGGCGAAGAATGAACTGGGAATGAACAGACGTTCTGGAAACACGTGGACAGCTCAGGTGGGGTCACGGTGCTACAGGAGGGGCCTCCCGACAGACACAGGTGAGCATGTGCGGGTGTATAGGGAGCCGTGATGGAGAAGGGACCGAGGGGAGAAAGAAGGTGGGGAAAGGTTTTCGAGGCAGGTTCTGAAATCCTTAGATGACACACCCGGCTGTTGGAGGCAGAGTGTCAGTCAAAGATTCTCCTTCCAGGCATGCTGAGGAAAATATCCTCTGAGCAGAGGGCTGGTGGCCTGCGGCCCTAAATAATCGCACACTCTCTCCACCCTCTACGCTGAAGTGCTGGGATAGCTTCATGCCTGCGTAGTTCCCACGTCGCCTTCTCCACCATTGCACTGCCTGGGGTCACTGCACCACTATACATGGGAGGAAAAATCCTGGAAACCACCCAAGAGTCCCAGAACAGGCAAGCAGATGAAGAAACTGTGATCCTGACACACCGTGGAATATTACTCAGCCGTGAGAAATGATGGATGGGGCACACACTCTCACTCTTTTCAGTTCTCTAAGCCAACACTCTGAATTTAAAAGGTTTATATCCACAGTGGGGTGGGGCTAGGACAGAGAAGACCACCACGACAATGATAGTTGGACAGGATTGCTCTGGACAAGAACTGAGCAAAGGAACAAACGCACCTGTTAGGGCCCACCTAGCTGGGGTGACGGCCACGCTCAGCAGCTGGGGGGTGGGCAGGGGGAGGGAAGGAAATAACTAAAATAGCAGATCTGGGGAAGGGCCAGTCCCAAGCTGTCCCTGATGGCAGATTCCGCACCGCCCTGAGGCCTATCACCAACCAGGTTGGCTGACAGTTGGGACTCAGAGACGTAGGGGCGTGCTTGCTCCCTGGGGAGGTGGCCCTGATCGATTGATCGATTGGTATCTGGACTGTGTGCTTGGCAAGAAATAAAGTTCTGCTGAACTTTTGCATTTGTGTTGCCCAAGTTCCTTAGATCATGGACCCTGACAGATGATAACCTCACATGGTCTGTATTGCAAAGCATAATGGAGAGGGGAGGGAGGAGGAAGAGGAGAGAGAGAGAGAGAGAGAGAGAGAGAGAGAGAGAGAGAGAGAGAGGACAGAGAGACAGAGAGGGGGAGAGAGAGAGAGGGATGGAGGGAGACAGAGAGACAGAGACAGAGAGACAGAGACAGAGATGGAAGTGTCTTCCCTAGAAGCAGGCAGAGGGGGAGGTGGCGGGAGGGACCTTGGGGACCCTGGTGGTGGCAAATGTACACTGGTGAAGGGACAGGTGTTGGAATACTGTGTGACTGAAACCCAATCATGAACAAGCTTGTAACTGTATCTCTTGGTGATGCAATAAAAGCAAAACAGAAAAGAATAAAGTTTAGAAAATTAGGAGCAATTCTCCCTGTCGGTCTCCGGATTGTCTGAGGTACCCCTGACGCTCCAAGAAGGCTGCGTCTCTCCTCAGACATGGCTGAGAAGGGGCTTGTGTGGGTCCCTCCCAGCCCAGAACTGGAGGCCTGGGCTGGGTGTGGGTGTTTCCAGCCAGCGTCAGAGAACAGAGAGAGCCCGAGTGAGAGCAGACGGAGGGTGCGGCCCGAAGCATGGGAAGGGCCAGTCTTCCTTCCCTTCCCTTCCCTTCCCTTCCCTTCCCTTCCCTTCCCTTCCCTTCCCTTCCCTTCCCTTCCCTTTCGATTTGACCCTCAGGATAGGTGTTCGGTGCTCGGCAGTATCCCTGGCAGTGTTTGGGGATGACGACTCATGATGCTTGCTTGGAACGCAGGGTGCAAGGTGGGCACCTGAAGCCCTTCACTCTCCCGGCCCCTTGAATCAAACTCTCCCCTCTCCACAAGAACGTCCCGGCAGCAGGGGCAGCGGAGACCAGAGGCTGGTCTAGGAGACAGGATGCCGGGGAGCATGTTTCCAACTGAGAGTCCTCCGCTGATGCCCAGCCCATCTCCTCTCCGTTCCCAGACCACCGGACACCAAGCACAGTGGGTGCCTGTTCCTGCAAACACCCCGACCCCCAGCCACCCAGCAGCAGGTCAGGGGGCAGCCACTCCCACCAACGGGCAGAGGGCGGGGGAGATGACGATGTCTTCCACCCACACGGGCCTCCACTGCAGAGCAACCTGGGCGGGGAACGTCCGTCCACTCCTCATCCATTTGCGCTGCACGGCATATGGCGGGGGATTCTAGCAGGTCACATGCTTGCAGGAACTCCACCACCCCTAATTCACTTGCCCTGAGAAGAGGCTGAAACGGCAGCGTTTCTGCTCAGAACCAGCCCAGAACGTCTTCGTGCTCTTCCTCCCGGGCCCTTTCTTTCGCTCGATGAATGTCCTTGTTGCCTTGCTCTGTTTGGTTGGTTTTGGCTGTGGTCCTCAGCCTGCGGAGGCCGGGGGGACTTGGCATGGTTTGGGCACTCACTGGGCTGGACACCTGCGAGGCAAGAGCCTCCCCTGTCCTGTCTCTCCAGCCCCGGGCAGGGATTCTTGCTATGGCAAAGGCGCCGGGTCCCGTTCATCCACCAGCTACTCACTACACTGCTGCTGAATGTGGACTTGAATGCCCTAATATGTGCTCACGAGCCCTGCCCACAGGGACAAGGGGACACAGCCACTCAATCAGAGCCAAAGGCTGGACCACAGCCAGCCCCAGCCAGAGCCGCGCTCAGTGCCCTGGTGAACAGGGGCAGCTGGTGGGCTGAGGCCTGGCCAGCTGGGTCAGGTAAGATGGCCAGTTGGTGGGTAAGATGCCATGTCCTGACTCGTCTCTGGGAACTTAAGAGAGAACCGAATACACAGACCAAGCTACAGGGCTGCTTCTTATTTAAAATAAGTCATTTTTTTTGGCCTGTGCTTAAAAACACCATTTCCTACACTGCACTGCCGCCCCCCCCCCCCAGCCCTGCCAGGGGTCCGCTCCCCTCCTCGGCTACCCCAGGGCCTGGCTCTCTGCTCTCTTCCCTGTCCATTTCCACGCAGACAAGTCTCAGTTTCTCTGCCTCTGAGCGTCTGTTATTCCCGACTTTACTGTGTCCCTGTTGAGATCACCTTGCCTGCCCCCTCCTGCTGCCGTCTCTCACACTATGCAGTCCCTCTTTCCTTCTCCTGAGAACCCCCCCCCACCCCCCGCCCCGTGCACATATACTCTCATTTCTCTGCCCAGTTGTCTACTCTGGGACTCTCGGGCTACTGGGAACTGAGTTTGGGGGTCCTGGGGGAAGATGCTCAGAAGAGAAACTGCCAAGCCAGGTGGAAACTCAACGCCCAGGGTTTACAGACATTTCCAAATTATTCTACAAAAAATTCCTGAACCCAGAGATTCCGCTACAACACAGGTATGACACTCGACGCCGCTGTGTGTAGAAGCATTGCCAGGAGTCAATGCTTCCGAGACCGCCAGAAGCAAAGAGAGACAAATGGGAACTGCATCAGACCAAGAAGCTCCCGTGTCACAAACCAAATGATGACTGGAATGAAAGAGAGTATTTGCTTCGCCAATCACCTGAGAAAGGTCAATGCCCAACATCTATACAGCTCTGAGAAACGTCTGCAAGGAAAACAACGAACAATCCCATCAAAACACAGGGGAAGAAATGAACAGAAGCTTCCTTAAGAGAGACACGAATGGCTGTCAGGTATGTGGAAAGCTGTCCTGCATCACTTGCCATCGGGGACGCACAAACGAAAGCCATGTGAGACACCACATCACCCAGCAAGACCTTGGTGCTGGCGGTGTGGGAACAGGTGGTGGGGGACCTCATTCACTGGCCCAGCCTTCCTGGGAAGATCTTGAGTTCTGCCTCATGTGAGAACTGTGATTATCAGGGACGTCAACATGAAGGAGACACATGTGTCCAGGGACATCACATGTGCCCAAGGGAACAGAGGAGCAGCCTGAGAATCACCTGCACTGTGCCAGTCATCTCTGTGTCGGCAGAGACTGACTCACTGTTACACCCGGAAGTGCAGACTGTGGAGGAACAAAGCTTGGGCTTCCAAACGCTGGAATGCTGGTGCATGTGGGCCTGACTCCCTGGGCGGCAGTGTGGGGTGGGCAGTTCCAGGGTCACTGGCTGGGCCAGAAGTCCCCTGAGCCGCAGTGTGAGGTGGGCATTTCTGAGGCCACTGGCTGGCTCCATACCCCTCTGAGCCACAGTGTTGGGTGGGCAGTTCTGGGGTCACTGGCTGGGTCCATACCCCCCTGCGCTGCAGTGTGAGGTGGGCAGTTCTGGGCAGGGAAGAGACTCTATAATGCAGAGCAACCCTTTGAACCGGCAAGTGAAAGCCTTGAGAGCCCCATCCCTCAGGAATCAGA